GCCTCGAACTCACAGAGATCCGCCTGCCTCTGCCTCCCGAGTGCTGGGATTAAAGGCATGCGCCACCAACGCCCGGCAACTTTCTTCTTGATAGTTTCCTAAACATGCTTATGTAAAAGTAATGAAGAATTACCGAAGACAAGCACAGTCTATCTGAGGGGCCTGGTGGGGGGGCTCTTTATTATATCAAGAAGGGGGAGTTGTGGAGGCCCACAAAGTTTTCCTAGTGAGATCTGAGCTTGCTTTACCCAGCAGAGCTGCATTAGAGGACTGCTTGGCCATGTGCATGGTTACTAGTTGATTGGAAGGGTCTACACCTGGCTGAGCTAGGGGGAGGTCTTTGCTCCACTCCTTGGCATTCCACAATCTACTGAAACTACATCTGAATTGTATTTCTAGCAATAAATGCTGTTATAATTTTGCAAGTTTAAATCACATTTCTAATTCTGTTTATGCATGTACTACAATTTTTTAAAGGGATTATGGAGACTGAAAAGTAGCAGAGCATAAGTTTACTTTATGTCAAAATTCTTAAGTAATAGAACTAATACTTTATGTTAACAATATGCTGTTTACATGGAAAGTTACTGTTTATAGTTTCAATATGCTTTTTGTATTTCATGTTTTACCACTGCTTTGTTAATCACTGCATTAGAGCTCAGTCAATCAAAGACATGGAGGACACCTTAGGTATTTTCAAACTAGGCTAACCAAGACAGCTTCTACTAGCACAGATAATAAGGGCCAGCCAGATATACCGTTTTTTATCCCCAACTCTTCCTTACAAAATAAAAAAGACTGGAGTTGTACCTTACAGCAGTGTTTTTGTCCAGCATTTGTAACTACGTAAGGCCCTGGGCTCAAACTCACAGACCCACATAAATAAATAAATGTAAAAACCATAGATATATTTAACACATATTTATTAATATATATTTGTATCTATTTCTAAAAAAAGCAACAAATGCATTTGGGAAATGGTATTAAATTTTCTATTTAGTCAGATACAGAAACTTCCTACAACTCCTACCATAATAACAGGAGATTTTCATTAAATGTTCAGTAATGAACCCATTTGCTGAGTAGGACTTGAAAAGCAAGAGATGATTTCATTGACATAAACAAATTCCCTGTCAAACTGAATTGGCAATCTGCTCTGGGATGGTCTGTATGTGTTGCTCTGATTGGTCAATAAATAAAACACTGATTGGCCAGTGGCCAGGCAGGAAATAAAGGCGGGACTAACAGAGAGGAGAACTGAGGGAACAGGAAGGCAGAAGGAGTCACTGCCAGCTGCTGCCATGACAAGCAGCATGTGAAGATGCTGGTAAGCCATGAGCCATGTGGCAAGGTATAGATTTATACAAATGGATTAATTTAAGCTATAAGAACAGTTAGCAAGAAGCCTGCCATGGCCATACAGTTTGTAAGCAATATAAGTCTCTGTGTTTACTTGGTTGGGTCTGAACAGCTATGGGACTGGCAGGTGACAGAGATTTGTCCTGACTGTGGGCCAGGCAGGAAAACTCTAGCTACAGCAATCTGTATTATCACAAAGAAATTAAAGTCATAATTCAAACAGAACTGTACCAGCTCTAAATGACAGTATATATATCATATAAATATAAGCACACACTGCGAATACACTTCCCAAAGGATATTAACACACTAAACCTATTTAATTAGAGATTTGTTAATTAAATATTTTTTTGGTATCCTGACTTTATTACCTCCCCAATTAATTTTCTTTTCTGTGTGTGTGTAGGTCATGTGTGTGCCAGAGCCTGCAGGGCCCAGAAGATCCCTGGGAGCTGGAGCTACAGGCAGCTGTGAGCAGCCCTCCATGGGTGCTGAGAATGGAACACTGGTCCTTTGGAAGAGTAGCAGCAACCATTCTCAACCACTGAGTCATCTTTCAAGCTCCCTAGTGAACTGTCTTTACACTAGCTTCTTTCATGAGATGTCTATGTGCAAACATCTCCCCAAACTGCTTTTTTCAAGAATTTGCAGGCTGGTAAGAAGGTTCAGGAGGTAAAGGTCCCTACCACCAAGCCTGACAATCTGAGTTCAATCCCTAGGACCTGTGTGGTGGAAGAAGCATAGCAGATTTCATTGTATGGATTATAATTTACAAAAACTTGTTAGCAGAGGAACTCTTGTCCACTCACCTGCTTCTCACTGATGTTCTTACACTCTTTGCAAATAATCTGGTTCACAATGGTGCCATGGTATAGACGATTAATGAGGTCATGGCCAGAGGTCCCAACTAAAGAAGTTTCCAAAGCACTGAAGAGAATTCGGTTCAGTTCCTGTACATCATGTTGTCTCATTTCCTAAAAACCAGAAATAGTTTTTGTTTTGAAGAAAAGGTCTTTGGGTTGTCAAGGCTGGCCCTGAATTTACAATCTTCCTGCTTGAGTCTGAGTGCTGCTGGTATTACAGGTACAATGTCCAGCTAAAACAGCTGACTTTTAAATATAACTTTTACTTCAAATTTGTAAGAACGGATTTTTAAGAATACTATCAATTAAACATATAAGAAAAACTTTGGATAGATGTATAGATGACTAAGTAGGTTAAAATACCACCTATTTTTATTTATACTACAAAATAAAAATATAGCCAGGTAGTGTTTAGTGTGTACACACAATTCAGCTCCCTCAGTGACTGTGAAGTGCACTCTGAATTATGAGAGAGCACCCACCTGCCCATGTCACAGGAGGACAGAAGGAAAGAGCAGGACAGGTTTAGACAGTGTGTAAGCCAGCAGTGTGTGCACAGGTAAACCTCACTTAGATCACAACAGCTGGAGACAGCAGAAATCAGAAATGAGTATTTCAAAGCATAAACCAACAAAAACAAGAGTACTGTAGTGTTGCTGAGAAAACTTCAAACTGCCTCTTAACTTGAGTCTATTTGGAGTCATTGGCCGTGTGTGAACTAGTCTTTCAGAATAAGCTGTACCTCCGAGACATGCTCTACCACTGGCAGGCAGAGAAGAGCCAAGTCCAAGGCACCAGGAGGAGTGGGGGCCTTCACCAGAATAGCAAGTGCTACTGAGCCACCCCACTGACATAAGAGTGTCACAGACACGCAAAGTGCCTTTCAGTCTTGGCACATTTGATGTCCCTGTTGCCTTCACTGAAGAAAGCCAAAAGGAGGCAGAGGAACAATTCAGGTGTAGAAAGAGAGGCAGCCAGGGGAACGATATAACAATAAGTTTATGTGACATGTGGCAGGTCAAGGGGATGAAAGCTGAAGCAGTGTGAGACTGGTGATCTTTTTCTTGCCCATTAAAGTATAAGATACCAGGGGATGTAAATCTGTCCTATATCACTGGTTTGAAAGGGAGGAAAAACTTCAAGGTCTGTTTCTGAGCAACCATTTATCTGGCAAAGGTACCTCAAAGACCTTCTACTACCCAGGTTCGGTTCTTTACTTACAAAACATAAAAGAATTAAGAAAAGTGTTTCAGCCAGGTGGTGGTGGTGTACATCTTAAATCCCAGCACTCAGGAGGCAGAGGCAGGCAGATTTCTGTGAGTTCTAGGATAGCCTGGTCTACAAAGTGAGTTCCAAGACAGTCAGGGCTACACAAAGAAACCTTGGGTCAGTCTGGGCCACTGGGGCCACCTACCTCAGGCAAGGGGGCACTCAAGGTCAGTTCACCCTTGTCTGTGGTGAGAGGTGGGGCCATCTATCCTGAGTGCAGGGGCTAGCACTCCTGTAAGGGTCAGGGCCAGCTCTCTTGCTGCAATATCCAGAGAGAGGCAATGCCATCTTTCCCTGGGCCAGGAAAGGGCAGGGCGGGCTCAGTATGACTCACTGCAATTAACATTTGCTAATAAAGCTTATCGGACAAAAGGGTATGCTATATTATACATTGAGGCTCCCAATGCCACCAGGACGAATGAAGAGGTGTTGGAGAGGTGGGAAAAAAGGAGAAGTGAAGAGGGTTTTTGTTTTTGGTTTGTTTGTTTTTTGTTTTTGTTTGCTTGCTTGCTTCATTTTGTTTTGATTTTTTTTTAAATTTTCTTTTGTGGGGAGGCACTGCAGGGGTTAAGGGGAGGATATGGGGGACCAGGAGGTGAGCAGAATTGGGGTGCATGATGTGAAACTCACAAAGACTCAATAAATAAATTAAATTTTCAAAAAAAATATTATGAAGCCAGCAACTTAGTAGAAGCTCAAAAACAAAGAGAAGCCTTCACTGAAACGTGGCATATCCACACAGCAGAGGCTCACTGGGCAGTAAGAAGGAATGAACCTTGACATTAAGTGAAACATATCAGTTACAAAAGATAACATAATGTATAACTCTATTCCTACAATTTAAAATTGACGGTAGTAGTGACGGTTGCCCAATTCTGTGAAAATACTAAAAGCCACTGAACTATACCTTTAAAAGAGTGGATTTTATGGCATACAAACCTCAATGAAGTGGTTATAATTTTAAAGGGAAGGGTACAGGAATACACCCCACGCATCAGTCCTATGCCTGAAATGTAACATGCTTTGTAGAGAATGTGCTATTACCTGCTTCAAAGTCCAAGCCCTACTTCTTTAATACCATAGGGCAGTACCACTGGATTAAGGAGTGTTCCTAGTTAGGCCACAGGTGAGAGCTTTACAGGAATGTACCTATTCTGCAAATAAGACCTTGTGTTGTCTGAATTGATATACTGACAACCCATCAGTACTGACAACAAGATTCTCAGTTGTTGCTACAGATGTTTGTCCGTATGTGGTAGAATGCCTTTTAGGAATACAAACAGAAAAATGAGTCATGCCCTACAGCAGATACAGGAAGAAAATGAAAAGTTAGGAGTCAGGGTGGAGGAAATTAAAACTCAGGGGTCAGGACAGGAAAATGAAAAAATCAGGCAAAGCACTGATCTGGCTGCAGTGCATTCTCATCAGGGTGCTCAGATCAAGCAAGAAGCCCATCCCAAAGGTAGGAAACACTCTGAACATCCACTAGTTTATGGACTATCACTGACGACTGAAAAGTTGATGAGCAGTCTGACATCTACACAGTAAATAACATTGATATAACAGGTGTTAAAGCTCAACTAAACTATATAAAAATTATGGAGTACAAATTTCAAAAATCAGTTCCTGTATCTCTCCCTGTATTAACAACATTCTTCCCAACCCCAAGGCATAGGCAGTTGTAACAGCCTATATTCAGTAAGCATCCAAACATCCACGTGTGCCTTGTTATTATTCATGTGTAAAGACTTCCCAACAGGCTGAGCTGCTGAGACAAAATTAAAGGACATGAGACAGAACAGGAAGCCTCCCTGCTGGCACCTTCATACCTCCTCGCTGGTCCATCCGAAGCTGTCAGTGAGGTCTATGGTGGATGCAGCCTCCTGGTCTAAGAGCAGTAACTGAGCAAACAAGCGCTGTAACTGCAAAGGTATGATCCGAACCTGGGGAGACAGTGAAAATTCCCAGATGAGCATTCATGTGTGGAGTGAAGCTTCAAAAGCTGTAGACTGGTTTTCTCCTATCTCCTGGCTCACCAAGTAGAAAATCCCTCATTACACAGGGAGAACTAATTAAGATTCAGTTCTTTGAAAATTCTAATTCAGTCCAAAAGGTTTTAGTGATCTGGAGTTTTCTCCCATGACACAGTTCAGATCAATGTTAAAAATTCAAATGAGTCCTAACGAACCACACAAATGATCACAGACATACAATTCCCATAGTTCATTTGTCCTCTACAATATCTCCATACACACATATCCAGGTGAATGCAGGCAGGTTTTAGGCACACAGATCTCAGTATGGAGTTCTGAAACTTCAGAAGCTAGGCTACACCCTGCCTCCCTTTCTGCTAGCTCCAGGCCAGTGAGCAGGGCCTCTCACAGTCCAGTGTGCAGGCCAACTTTAAAGACTCAAAGAAAGAGTAAGCATTCAGGAAGTCCTGTGACAATTCTATACTCCCATGACATTAAAAATATCTACTTCAAAAGCACTGCTCTGCAACAGATTGGAAAGAAATTGACATCCACTAAAGTCATTCTTGCCATAAAGTTGGTTTTGAAGCATGAGACAAATCACCATTCTTCGCAGACCTGAGCCTGCGTGTGATGAGGGGCTTCTGAGTGAGGTTCCAGCAGGAAGAACACAATTAGAGCTGTGTTTTAAACAACTTCACCACAGCAACGTACAAGACAATGTACTAATTTCTCCTTAATGTATTTCCAGAACACTAAAGTGAGAAAATACTGGTCTCTAGGGTTTCCCCCATGTATTTATTACTGTAAATAAGTGCCCCGAATGGATGTTCTGGTTAACTAGCATGGATAGATTCCAAGCTTCTCCTTTGCCTTGAAAATAAGCACAGCAAAGTGAGACATGTTTGTGATAGCAGCAGCAGCATGGCATTTTGAAAAACCATTCTTTCTTGGAAGAAAATTTCTAATTTTAGTATGAGGCAAGTCACTTTCTGTCAATAAAGACAATACTTTGTAATAAATAACTTTGTTTTCTATGGATAAGGACCTTAATTCCTTCCTTAAGAACCATTTCCTAGGCTAGGGAGATGTGCTTGCCACATAAGAATGAGCACTGGAGTTCAAATCCCTAGCACCCATTTACAGGCTGGCTGAGTGTGATGACAAGCCTTAATCTCTGCTTTCAGAAGGCAGAGCCAGGGTCCCTGGACAAGTGGGCTAGGTAAATTAGCTGGAGTGAGAATACAAGTGAGAGACCCTGCCTCAATGAATAAGGTGGAAAGTGATGGAGGATGTCAACCTCTGACATGCACATATGCACACATGTATGCTCACATGCATATACATGCACACTCCCACAACAGGCAAACATGCAAATGCACAGGAATGCACACAACACACATGTACACATGCAAAAAAAAAAACCCCAAACATTTCCTGAATATTCAAAGACTCAATAAATTATAGATTTAGTACCTTTGCATCAGGCTTATCCTTATCCTCTAAAGAACCAAGTTCTTCTGGACCAAGAGAAAATAAAGCTTCTAAACAAAAAAAGTAGAGTCAGATATGTAAATGATATGATTTCATCTTAGAAAATTGTTTAGGAAGCCAAGACCTCCATTAAGCAGCATCAGCAAAAGATTTAGAAATTACTAAGTCAATATTTGTACACATTTTGCAGTCTTTTAACATTGTTGTCCACTGGATCGAAGAACATCAAGTGATGAATGAGCATGTGACCATCAGTATGACAGATCCATAGGACATAAAAAGATAAGCAGGCAAAGCACTATGGGACATCCTTTAATCCTAGAATTCCTGGAGCAGAGGCAGGAAGATCTCAAGTTCAAGGCCTACTTGGTCTACATAACAAGACCTTGCCTTTAAAATCCACAGACTAAGAGGACATAGCTCAAAGGTAGGTGCCTATCTAACAAGAGCAGAGACCTGGTACTGCCCCCAAACAAACAAAACCTCTATAAACATAAAACAAACAAACAAACAAAAAATGATTGGTTTCAACTTCCTTTGGCTATGGGACTCAAAAGTTATGAGGAGTCTCAGAAAATAGAAAAATGTCACAGGTGAATATTTTCCCATGTGAGGCTGCTACGCAATCTTCCAAGTCAAGGGCCAGACTGGGTGTCTTTCATCTTGATATCCTGTCCTTTGCTTTTTGGTGTGTAAATGTCTTTTCTAGAGTCCCAGTAGAGTGCACAGTGCACACTACAATGTCAAACTACATGCTTGAACAGACAAGAGGAAGCTGGCCTGCAGCTCTCAAGTTCCTGGTATTCTCCACGATCTGCCCTGTCCCTCACCTTTCTCTTTTTCTTTCTTGGGTTTTTGAAGAAGGTCTCACTATATAGCCCAGGCTAGCCTTAAACTTTTAATCTTCCTGCCTTAACCTCCTGAGTGCTGGGACTACAGGTGTGGGCCATACAGCTGACTACTCAGTTTCTTTTTCTTCATTTTGTTTAGAGTGACTCATGTGACCTTGAACTTCTGATCCTCCTCTTGCCTTCACCTCCCAAATGTTCTCAGTCTGTTCTTAAGGCTATTTTCTGCTTCAAGCTGTCTTTTAACTTCAACCATATTAAAACCTGGAAGATCTTTATCCCTCTTAGTTATCTGCTTAGTAATGCTGAAAACTTCTAAGGGCTGGGAGGCAACTTTGTGTAGAGGTTGAAGTCAAGGGCACAAGATACCACTCTGAAGTGTCAGCTCACTCCACTAGAATGGCCCACTAGAAGTGGACAATAGTAAATATTTCCTAGATCTTTGTAGAAAGAAGCCTTTCAAAGCTTAGACCAACAGAAGAATCTTCCAAAGATCTGATAAGCTGAGTGGTAGTGGGAACTTGGCATTCAAATATAAGACAAACTAGATTGTCCTCGAGAGAACCTGTGGAGACATGAGCTACATATTCATGTACACTGGGCCCCCCATTCAGGATCATGCAGAGGCCAAACAAGGCTCATGCTGGAATCAAGAACAGGCGCTTAGACCCTAATGAAGGTAGCTGGAGTAGAGAGAGGGGAATGAAACAATGTATTGAGAAACAAGGGCAAGAAATCAGGCTGTAGTGCAGACTGGCTGCCTTCCAGCATTTGGTTTCCGGAGAAATAGTCTTTCATCACAGTTACTCCCCACACCCATTTAATATAGCTAATCTGAGTGGGTTTATGTTTCTTTTGGGTCTTTGAAATTCATAATTTCTAGATTTTAGAATGATGGAGGAATTTGTACATTACTTTTCATTCCCACCACGGTCTTGGACAGACAATACTGGTTAATTAATGAATATAATGAATATAGTCACCCTTCTGACAGAACTAAAACTCCCAAGAAGCTTCACCCAGGTCAGGTTCTGAGGCCAAACAAATTCAGGACAGATCAGGTCAGAATCAGAGTTCTCTGAATTTCAGAAATGCAAATAAGTACTGATATGTATAAATAATGTCACAACTTCCCACTGCAGAAGTCAAGGTTTTTTGTGTAACCATGACTTGTGTTAGTTACATTGGAGAAAGATGAGAGAACTGTCATTATGTTGTCTTTTAAATTATGGGAATTAGAAAAACTTTGCCTTATTTTTTTTTGTTATGAAACATTACAATCACTACACAGAATAGATTTTTTAAATTTAAGCTTCACAATTTTCTTTTGAGAACTGTCAGTGCATGTCTTACTTTGTGACAATGAACACATATTGGTGAATCCACCTTTAAAATACTTTCTCTTTTATGTTTTCTACATAATTAATTACATATAAAATCCATGGTATATATTATTATTCAAATGCATGTAACATAGCATACCTCTGAATTCAGGTGTGAAATGAAGAGTCTGAAGAAGGGAATTGAGGTAACAGGTTCCACCCTGATTTCTGATTCCACTTAAATTGGTGAATTCTCTAGGGGCAGGTGGCTCCAACCCTTTAGTCTTTAATTTCTTCCCTTTTCCATACTGACTATTTGACACACTGGAATAATCCTCTTCAAATAGGTTCCCAAACATTGTGGAACCAAATACTATCCTTTAAAAAAAAATGACATGTTACATAAATGCTTTTATTCTTAAAATGAACCCCCAACCCCAAATCTTCCTTGTTCTGTTAAACTCTTCTTCAGAAAAATACAGTAGTTTGTGTTTGGAGATAGCAAGATCTGACTTCTCTTTCATACCTACAGGGGTCCTAATTAACCTGTATGACCCTGGACAAGTAATTTAGCTAATATTTACTTCTATGTAAACTGTGGCTGCACATGTTTTATAGGGTAGTTTAACCAGTACTAGGTACAAAGGGCATGGTCCACAGGAACCGATAACTATTCTTGGATTCCACACCACTAAATGAGAAAAAAAGCAAGTTGACAGCAACCTTAGGATCATCAATAACTCTGAAATCTCAGCTTCCCCCATCTCGTCACATGCTGTATCAGACCACAGTTTCAGTGATTTAAACCTATCGCGTTAATCATCTCGATGGCAGTCTCAGCACTTCGGCCCCCAACTAGAGTCTGGAGTAGGTACCTGAAGGAAGACACACTCCGGCCATTAGAGCCCAGTGTTAGTACTGGGGAGCTGCGGGAGCCTGCTCTGTGTCTCCTGTGGTAGAGGGGAAACTGAGGTAAGACGCTGAGGACACTTTCTAAGTGACAGGAAGGGCCGAAATGCAGTTCTTGCCCTTTTCCACAAGGTCCCCTGAAGAAAAGCTCAAGAAATGGAACCCGCGAGTCAGGCCTCGAGCTCGCGAGCTGGACTCCCGTCATGCCCTTCACGGAGGCCTTCCCGCCCACCAAGACGCCCAGGGCCCAGGAGCGCAACCAGGCGCGCGTCCCCGCGGCCCGGCCCCTGACGCGCCGCCAGGAGAGGCCGGGCGTCTTGCCTCAGGCCGCCGGCGTCGTCCCTCCCTGCGCCCCCCGCTCCCCAGCCCCACTTACTGCCTATAGCCCAGACCCCCGCCCCGGCCACAACACAGAGTAAACGAACTCGCTCCGAACGGGTACCGCCATGCCGGCGAGGGCGGGTCTCTGGAAAATGATTCCACCCCCCCCATGTGAGGACTACATTTCCCAGGATGCTTCGCGCCACGCGGAGATTTATGGGCAATGTAGTTATTGCTAAAGAGATTGTGGATGGGGCCGGGAGGCTTTGCTCTTTCCAGTCAGCTTGTAAGTTACGTTTATTACAACCTGCAAAAATTAAAGACTAACGCATTGGGGCCATATGTTTCTAGTGCTTTCACCAATTAAATGCAATGTGTATCCTGTGCTCTAGAATATTCAAAGGGACCTTAAAAACCATTTTTCCTTCAAGCATATATCCAATACAAAACTTGTGAAAAATGTTGTACGTCCCGTGAACCTTACATCGTCCTCAATCGTTATTTAATCTCTATCAACCTTAAGCAGTTTATATATAAGCATGCAAGCATGTGTGCACACATATTTCCTTCAAAATGGTCTATCCTGCCTGAGCACTTGGATGGGAGGCTACTTCCCAGCCTCTGTATAGGCCCTACTTGTATCTTCCTGGTCACCCAACCCCTATCAAGTCATGAATGAAGGAAGTAGAGAAACCTAATTTTTATTTCAGCTGAGAGCCTGAGAGCTGACGAACAGGAATCAAATGGAAGAATGGGCCTTATTTGTAGGAGGGTGGAAGACAGTGATACTGAGAGCAATGTAGAGTATGATGCCCCTGCTTCCAAATTCTTGTCTCAAACTGCTTCCAAAGGCTTTCCTAGTCAGTCACAGCAATGGCCCCCTTCTTGATACTAACTTTTGGATTAATTATTTTTTTTCATTATTGCGTTAAATACTTAACCAAAGCTACTTAAGGAAAGTAGAGTTTCTTTTTTGCTCATAGTTGGAGGGATAGTCCATCATCATGGAAAAGACTTAGTGGTCAGGGCAATTCTAGCTGCGAAGGCAGGCATGTGAGGCAGCTAGCCCACTCTGTGTCTGCAATGAGGAAGCAGAGAAAGACGGATGCCGATGCTCAGCTCACTTCCTCTTTTTTATTCAGTCCCAAACCCCAGCCCATTTGAAGGTGCCATTTACATTCAGAGTGGGGCTTCCTTCCTAGATAAGCCTTTCTGGTAACACCCTTGTAGACACATCCAAAGGCATATTTCCTTGTTGATTTTAACAAATCCAGCCAAATTGAACAATCAAAATGAACCATTACAGTGGATGATTTTTTTGATGTATTGTTGAATTTTTATTTCATTGGGGAGAATTGCATTTGTGTTCACCAAGAATATGGGCCTTTAATTTTCTGTTTCTTCTGAGTTGGTATCAGTGTAATGAAAGATGTTTGAAAGTATTGAAAGTATTCTCTCTCTCTCTCTCTCTCTCTCTCTCTCTCTCTCTCTCTCTCTCTCTCTCTGTCTCTCTCTCTCTCTCTCTGACCTTTAAAGGAAACCTCTGGGTCAGTACACAGAAGCTGATCAACATGGTCCAGAGGGGTCAGGCTACATCTTGAGCAACTTGATGACATCGTCTACAAGGTAGTATTTAGTTTGTTTGTTTGTTGTTTTTTGGGGAAAAAAAGGTGCAAGAGTGAGGATCCTGGAGGTTTGCACCAAGGCTCAAGAAAGCTGCTGAGACCAGGCAAGGTACAGCAAGGTTAGATTTTCTATTTGGAGGCTCTGAGCATCTATCACATGAAGTAATGATGATGAGACCCAAACTACAATGGGGACCACAGGATGCCGGTGGTGACAGGACAAATTCAAGTGGGGTGTTGGAACCCTGGTACATTTTTCCTCCCTGGCAGTTTGAGTGTCCATCTTCATCATCCACCCCTTTTGTGACAGGGTCTTTCATTGTTCCCTGCTGCATATGCCAGGTGCATTAGTTACTGTTCCATTACCATGAAGAGAGGATGGCATCTGGAAAGAATAGAAGAATCCTGCTGCAAACAGGCCAGAGCAAGCAGCAGTGCCTCTCCATGGCAGAGCTGCTTATGACAAACAATGCCACTGCCAGGCAGGTCAGGAAGGAACATCCCCCACAGCTTCCTTGGAAGCTGTTTGCCAACTTGTTTCTGAGCAGAGAGTTTTCATCACTCTGAACACACTGTCCAATAACTACTCTGGAGAACCTCCAAAAAGGCAAACATAATTCTCTCTGTAGCTAAGAGCATATGCTATTCTTATCAGGAACACATAAGTATCTTAGCAATTACAATTTATTAATCATTGATCTTCTGAGTTCAATCACTGGCAGTGGGTATTACATTTTTTATTAATATGCAAATATGAAATCACTCCCCTTGGGGGCATTTATACTTGTACTTGTCCATTTGTGTAAGAAGAGCTCAGAGTCTCAGCAGCTGGACTGTCCTGGGCTCTGCTTCTCCCATGGCTCCTGCAGATCTCTTCCTCTGTGTGTGTGTCTGCTGCTGGCCTCTGGCTTTGCCCAGGCAGGCAGGCTGCTGGTGGTGCCCATGGATGGGAACCACTGGTTCACCATGCAGATGGTTGTGGAGAAACTCATCCACAGGGGGCATGAGGTGGTGACAGTTGTGCCAGAGGTGAGTTGGCAACTGGGAAAATCCCTGAATTTGACAGTGAAGACGTACTCAACTTCTCACACTCTGGAGGATCTGGATGAAGAGTTCAATGTTTTTCTGGATGCTCACTGGAAAACTAGTAGCATATTTTCTCTATTACAACAATCATCCAGTGGTTTTTTTTGAATTGTGTTTTTCACACTGAAGGAGTTTGTTTAATGACAAGAGCTAGAGGAGTACTTGAAGCAGAGTCCTTTTGGTGCTGTGTTTCTGGATCCTTTCGGTATGTGTGGCTTAAATGCTGCCAAGTATTTTTCATTCTCATCCATGGTCTTCAGCAGGGGAATATTTTGTCACAATCTTGAAGATGGTGCCCAATGTCCTAGCCCCCTTTCTTATGCTCCCAGAGTTCTCTTGAAACTCACAGACACCATGACTTTCAAGGAGAGTGTGTGGAACCACCTTTCTTACATGGCAGAGCATGCATTTTACCCAGCTTTTTCAAAACTGCTGTAGAAATTGCCTCTGAAGTTCCCCAGACCCAAGTGACTGTGAATGACTTCTTCAGTCAAGTGTCCATTTGGCTGTTATAAATTGACTTTGTGTTGGAGTTCCCCAGACCTGTGATGCCCGACATAGTCTTCATTGGCAGGATCAACTGCCACCAGGGAAAGCTGCTGTGGGATAATCCTCTTGTATACTGTAAAGATTTGTCACTCGAATTGGTTTAATAAAACACTGATTGGCCAGTAGCCAGGCAGGAAGTATAGGCAGGGCAACCAAACTAAGGATGATGAGAAGGAGAAGGGTGGGAGTCAGGAGTCTCCAGCCAAACACAGAGGAAGCAGGGGATGAAGGTGCCATTCTAATAAAGGTTCCACCTCATGGAAAAGCATAAATAAGAATTATGGGTTAATTTAAGTGTGAGAGTTAGCTAGTAACAAGCCTGAGCTATTGGCTGATCATTTATTTATAATTCATATTCAGCCTCTGAGTTGGTTATTTGGGACTGGATGGTTGAGACAAAAAATATCTGATTACTGAAAGCCACCTTCCAAGTTATATTATCTCTCCTTTAGCACATGAAGATAGGCCTGGCTTTGGATAATAAAAAATTTCTTACTGAACTGTGATTTGTTGTTATATTAGTTGCATCTTGGATTTCTTCCTGGGTTAGAGAAGAAATGCTGCTGGTGGTAGATGTCCAGTCTTTTAGTCAGTGACCTTAAGTGTACCCCAACACACATATGAATGTGCCTCCTCACCCTAAATTTAGAAATGGATACATGCACAAATGAAGACCCTTTGGTACACAGCATGGATATGGCATAACTACAAATCTGACTTTTTATAAATAGAATTTCTGGGACCCAAGAAGTTATTAGAGCACCTGGAGCGGAGTTTTTTGGGTGCTGTGTTTCTGGATCCTTTCAAATGTGCGGCTTAACTGTGGCCAAGTACTTTCCACTCCTGTCCATGGGCTTCAGCCGAGTCTTAGCCTCTATACTGATGATAGTACTCAGTGCTCCCATCCCCTGTCTTACATCCTCAAAACTCATATTTCTACTCCAAAGACCCTAGTGTGAGGAACAGGAGCAGGGGTATCTCCACAGTTTGTAGGGCTGTCAAGGTGGGAGGTGTTATCTCTTTCCAGTCCATAAAGACAACAGTCCCACTTTGAGTTTTTACATCCTGGTTAGGGGTGGGCTTAATCAGTGATGTTTAAAGTTAACAGAAAAATTCCTGTGATAAGAATTCTATATTCTCCTCTTCCTTATAACCAAAGGAAAGAGGTGGGAACATTTTTAAATATGATCATAACTTTGTTGGTAAGAGAACATAAAGATCAATGCAAGTAGAGATGGGTGCTCAGGTGCTTCATTAATGTTTGAAGAGGGAAAGGGGTGAATGGTAGATAGGTGAGTTTGTTTATCACAAGGAGGGATGGGGAGCAAGGGCTTCTTTTCCAAAGCCATTTTCGTCAGCCTGATGATCATACAGTGGATGCATAGGGGTCACCATAAAGAAGTATCTGCCTCATCCCATTTTGGTCTTTTGTTGGGATGAAAGGTCCAAATTTCCACTGGGAATGTGCGAGACCCAGTCATAAAATGCTTATGATAGGCTGTGTGCAGATGCCCTCTCCTGTGATATCAGTTAGCTCCAAGTTGGGGTATGGAGTCAGTAATGCAGTAGCCAGAGGGGAGGAGGATGTTACCACCAGGAAACTTAGAAGAGGATTCAGAATAGCTAATCCTTGAAAAGACTCTAGCCAGACATGGCATCTCATCTGTCAGCACATCCTGTAACAGAAAAGAGGACCATGATCTTATCCAGTGCTTTACACCAGTGCTTCACAAAGCTACCTGGGTTAAGGAAAATCAAGAGCAACTCAAAATTCATTATTTATTTATTTATTTATTTATTTATTTATTTATTTATTTATTTTGTTTTTTTGAGACAGGGTTTCTCTGTGTAGCTTTGCACCTTTCCTGGAACTCACTCTAGCCCAGGCTGGCCTCGAACTTGCAGAGATCGGCCTGGCTCTGCCTCCCAAGTGCTGGGATTAAAGGCGTGTGCCACCACCGCCCGGCTATTATTATTTTATCACAGATAATAGAGCGCCTATAGAATAGAAAATACAGAAGATAGAAAATATGAGATGGCCGGTGATGGACTTAGTTGACCAGGCAGGTGATGGACTTAGTTGACCAGGCAGGTGATGGACTTAGTTGACCAGGCAGGTGATGGACTTAGTTGACCAGGCAGCACTCACTGCTCGCTGCTCTGAGGTCCTCACCACAAGTGCTGCATCGCCTGCCCTGGTAGCTGAACCCACACTGTGTGCTGGGAGAAGACCCAGAGCAGCACTGTTTTGGACTCAAGCAAAAGAGTTTGCATGACTACTGTTCAGGCAGAGGTAAGAGAGATTAGAGTTCTTAGTTAAACACGCTAGTACATTGCCAAATGTCCTGACTAATGACTCAACAGTAGGACAAAGTCTGGTATCTATCCAGGTTTGTTCTCATTACCTGTTTGGGCACCTGGCAACATTTCTGTTTTGAATCTGTGGTGACATCTCAAAGTTCTAAGTTAGAGGGATCTTAAGGTCTTCAGCAAAAAAGAGCCCTTGGCTGTTGTACCTGGAGCAAAGAAACCTGGCCATGATCATTGGAGGGCTCAGAGGCTTATCAGAGTTCAGAGGCTCAACACTCTTCCACCTTCCGTCTAGGTGACGATCCAGAAACCAGGCTCAGAAATAGTCATCCTTTCCTTGAAGGAGAGAAAGGAATCTTTCCATGACTACCAAGTAGCCAGTATTTCAGAGATGCTGCTTTTAGCACATGTCGTGCCTATTTAATGGTTTACAAGAGTCCTGCAGTAAGTAGGACAGTGTTCCCAAACTCGGTGCTGATCAGCCAAGTCTCTTGCAATCTCAGATCCGTGAAGTTGCCATACCTGCAAGAGCAATGCAGAGTTGTTTTGGCTCTGTCCCAGCCCTTCCTAACACAGTGTCCTTTAGTGAGGGACTGGCTTTCCTGTGACCTTCTCTAGCATTTTACACCTCTTCCTCTTGACTAACTCATTTCTCACTGTCTATTCTTCTTAGCCTACTTTCTTACGATGTTAAAACAAACACATGATATATACAGAGACTCCTTACAGGTAGCAAATTCTGAATTCTGAAAATCCAAACAAATTGTTCTATTACTCTTTCAAAACTGGTTTTGCAATAGAGGACATAATCTTTCCAAGGCAAAGATCATACTGTCATTATCAGAAAAACATACAAGTACATATTTCAGCCAGTGAAAGTCATTAATTAATATTCTTTTGTGTGAATCGTTATCACTGAATTTAACTTTCATTATGCATATACAGACACTTTTAGCTGCTGGTTGCTTTTCTGTCTGTGTTGTAACAGTCCAGAGTATCAGCAGCTGGACTGTCCTGTGCTACACTTCTCCCATGGCTCCTGCAGGTCTCCCAGCCTCCCTTCCTCTGTGCGTGTGTCTGCTGCTGGCCTCTGGCTTTGCCCAGGCAGGCAGGCTGCTGGTGGTGCCCATGGATGGGAGCCACTGGTTCACTATGCAGATGGTTGTGGAGAAACTCATCCACAGGGGGCATGAGGTGGTGGCAGTTATGCCAGAGGTGAGTTGGCAACTGGGAAAATCCCTGAATTTGACAGTGAAGACGTACTCAACTTCTCACACTCTGGAAGATCTGGACCGCGAGTTCAAGGTTTTTAGTGATTCCCAGTGGAGATCTTGGGAAGAAACCTTCTATTCTATATTACACAACAAAGCCAGCAAGTATCTCGAATTATTATTTTCACAGTGTTGGAGCTTGTTTAATGACAAGAAGTTAGTGGAGTACTTGAAGCAGAGTTCTTTTGATGCTGTGTTTCTGGATCCTCTTGATGTGTGCGGCTTAACTGTGGCCAAGTATTTGTCACTCCCATCAGTGATCTTCACTAGAGGAGTATTTGTTATTTTCTTGATGATGGTGCTCAGTGCCCCAGTCCTCTTTCTTATGTTCCCAGAGGTGTCTTGAAACTCACAGACACCATGACTTTCAAGGAGAGAGTGTGGAACCATCTTCTTTATATGGCGGAGCATTCAGTTTGCCCTTTTGTTTACAAATCTGCCATAGAAATTGCCTCTGAAGTTCTCCAGACCCCAGTGACTATGGATGACCTCTTCAGCCAAGTGTCCATTTGGTTGTTACGCACTGATTTTGTCTTGGAGTTCCCCAGACCTGTGATGCCTAACATAGTCTTTGTTGGCGGGATCAATTGTCACCAGGGAAGGCCACTTTCCAAGGTATGATGTCTCTCTGTTAGCACATGAAGAGAGGTCCACCTTTGGACAACAAAAAAGAAATTCTTTACTGAGCTGTGATTTCATATTTACACTAGCTGCATCTGGATTCTCTTGCTGGTTAATAGAAAATTCTATACAGGTGTCCTGTTAATATGGATGTGTATACCTATGGCATAATTGCATGTAACTTCCAAACTATGGTCTGGGTTTAAATTTGTGTGTGTGTGTGTGTGTGTGTGTGTGTGTGTGTGTGTGTGTGTGTGTGTATCTCCTCTTCTTTGCCCCATGTGTATGTACGTTTGTGTAGAACATGAAAATAAAAAAGGTACCTTGAAAGTGGAGGGAGTGACCTGAAGGGGAGGGGTAGGGAAAAGAGACAGGAGTAAGATACACGTAACATGAAGCAGAAGGGGGGGGGGGTAGCTGGTTGGAAGGAAGGGGATAAGCAAATAGATGCAAAGGACATAGTAGGATGGGTGAGGACTGGGATAGATGAGGACACATCGGACACACATATGCATGAAAAGGGCACAGTGCCACCCATTACTTTGTATGCTAACTTTAAATTTAATTCTAAAATGGCACAAAACACTTTCAAGCTACATTTTGATATTGTTTTAAGAATCACTGACATACACTTCAAGTCATGAAAGTTTTCGTTTTCCTAGTTCCAGTCTACCCTCCATAAGAAAGCACTCTTAGCTGTATTTATAAATTTTTCCAGTTTTCAGAAATTGCACATAAACCAAATTGGCACATTCATTCCATTACATAAAATAACAACAACAACACACACAATTTTATTTACTATGCATTGGCATTTGACAATGATCACAGACAAACACCATGTCTGTGATAAACTAATAAGTACAATACTTTACTAATCACATCAAAATCTTTACATTGGTTAGCCCTTTTATAATTTTTTTTGTGAACAAGTCTGTGCTACCCATTCTTTGACATTTCTTTTACATGAGTATGTGTCTATATTCTTTGCATTATCTGAGTACCAGGTATAAAGTAGAGTTTCTGAGTCAAATGGTTCATGCAGGACTTTAATCAGTTAGAGAAAACGTTTTGTAAATCCTGAACAACTGCGTGCTTCGACTGGCAGCCTCTCAGAGCCTTAGCGCTCCTACAGCCTAGTGATGTTAGCTAGCCATTGTCACGCTTCTTGTTTTATGGGTTTTCTGGGCCAATGCCCCAGTCCACTGCCTTACATTCCCAGAGTTCTCTCAAAACTCACAGACACCATGACTTTCACAGAGAGAGTGTGGAACCATCTCTTCTACATGGGGGAGCGTGCATTTTGCCCCTAATTTTTCAAAACTGCTACAGACATTGCCTCTGAAGTTCTCCAGACTCCAGTGACTATGAATGACCTCTTCAGCCAGGTGGCCATTTCATTGTTCCACATAGATTTTGCATTGAATTTCCCTAGACCTTTGATGCCCAACATGGTCTTCGTTGGTGGGATCAACTGTCACCAGGGAAGGCTACTTTCCAAGGTATATTATTTCTTCTTTAGCACATGACGAGAGCTTGTTTGGACAATAAAATGAAATTCTCTATTGACCTGGGTTTTATTGTAAATATCACTCCATATGGAATTTCTTCCTGGGTTGTAGAATTGTTTTGTGCCTAGTCACTAATTAGGAAACAATTCTATATAGGTGCCCTATTCATATGTCCATGTACACCTGTGGCAATAGTGCATATACATTCCAAGTTACAATCTAATTTTATATATCTATTTATGCCTTCCTATTTGTGTGTGTGGCAAGGGCCATGAAATTAGGAAGGGGAGGGGACAAAGAGAAGTTTCCCGAGGAGGAAAAGAGATAGTAATGGTAGGCATGTCCCATGAAAACAGAAAAGCGGATCATTCACGGGTAGGAAGAGAACACATGGAGAGTAAGGCTGACTAGAGAAGATTGGGGTAAACAGAAAAGACAAAATGTCTGAAAAATGCCAAAGTGCCACTGAATACTCTGTATGCTAACTTTAAAAAGTGATTTAAAGAGACAAAAACACTTCAAGCTACATTTTACTGTTTTTTTTTTTTTTTGGAGATGTTTAACAAACACATGAAGCCACAAAGCAGTCCTTATTATTTGTCAACTGCTCTATATGAGTGCATGTGCAGTTTTTCCAAGTTGCAAAAATTATTGATATGATATGTAGGATGCAAGGAAGGTGCATTTTTTTTTAACAAAATAAAATATAATATGATAAAAAAAAAACCGCCATACCAAGACTGGTCAAGATAAGTCAACAGAGAAAGAAGATCATGAAAGGAAGTGACAAAAATCAGAGACTCTCTTGTTAACACATTCAGGAATCCCATAAAAGTACTAAACAGAAAGCTATGGTGTATATTCAGAGGGCCTGGTGCAGACCCATGCAGGCCCTGGGCATACTGCTTCAGTCTCTGTGAGTTCCTGTGAGCATTGCTGAGTTGTTTTAGAGGATCTTGTTCTTGGGGTGTCCTCCATCCCTTCTTCCTCTGCCCCTCCAACTCCTTCTGCCTCTCTTCCTTGGGGTTTCCTGAGCTCTGAGGGGAGGGATTTGAGGGAGACAACTCATTTAGAGCTGTGTGCTCCAAGGTCTCTCTATGTAATGTCTTTCTGTGTGTCTCTGTACTTGCTCCCATCTGTTGCGTGAGGCCCCTGGCAAAGCATCTCTGATGATGGCTGACTAAGGCACTGCACCAATCCATGAGTATAGCAGAATATCATGAGTCATTTAATTGTTAACGTTCCCCTTAAGAACAGGATTATTTGTTTTTACTCTAGCTGTCTGGACTTATTGACTCTGGTTCTTTGTCACCCAATCAGTGTCAGGTATAAGTTCTGTTCATGATGTGGGCCTTAATTCAAGTCGGACATTGTTTGGTTACTCCCACAAGGTTTGTGCCTCCATCGCCCTGGTGTGTTTTGCAGACAAGACAGATTGTAGGTCACAGGATTTGTGGTTGGGTTGGTTTTTTTTCTCTTTTGGTAACTTGAAGACATTTCCATGTCATAGACACTAGAACATGGGGTGAAGGTTTGATGTAGGCACCAGCTCAACTTCTCCATGTTCAATGAGTAGTGTAGGTATTGTCTTCAGCAATGGGGTCTTGTCAGTTTGTGGAGATCAACCTATTGTCTTGGCCACAGCCTGGGTTGCTTGGGAATTTTCATGGGACCCCTTTGACCAACAACTGAATTGGATGAGAACCATTCCCAAAAAGGAAGCTTAGTTTGGTGTCAAGATATAGCCAGTAGCGGTTCCCTCTCCCTCATTATTTGGAGACTTCTGTAGGATTGCCTTTATATATTACAGGAAGTTTCCACTGCGCGGCACTGGGTTTCCTTACTGCCACTCAAAAGTTCTTTATTCTAGCCATCTCTCCCCTCATTGCTTCCCTCAATCCCTCCATCCTTCCTCCTTCCCGCCTGATACTCCTGCTCTTGTTCCCTTCCCCTGCTCCGCCCACTTGTAAAATCCATTCTATTTCCCCCTCCCAGTGAGATCCATGTGTCCCCCCAGTGTCTTCCTCTATGCCTAACCTCTTTGTGTCTTTGGAGTGCAGCTTGGTTATGATTTCTATAATGTTCAAATGCAATCATATTTATCAATATCATAAATATTGATATCATAAATATCAATCAATGCATATCATATTTATCTTCTGATCTGGGTTACTTCACACACGATGATTTTTTCTAGTTCTATACATTTGCCTACAAATGTCCTGTTGTCGCATTTTTAAAGAGCTGAGTAATTACCCCATTATATAAATGTATCACACTTTCTTGATCCATTCTTCTTTTAGGGACATCTAGGGTTGTTTTTTTTTTCTAATTTCTGGTCAATAGAACAGCAACAAACATGGTTGAGCAAGTGTCCCTGTGGTAGGATGAGGCAACCTTTGGGTATATGCCCAAGAGTGGTTTGGCTGGATCTTGATGTGGCACAATCCTAGTTAATCTTAATAATAAAAACCCAGAGTCAGATATCAGGGTAAATGCTGAAATATTAGAGAAATAAAGGAGAAGCATAGTCACCTCTTACCTCAATGACTTCTCATTCTGAAAAAGGGGCTGAGCTCCTGTCTCTGCCCACCTTATGACTTTCTTCTCTCCACCCAGCCATATCACTTCTTGTCTCCTGTCTGTATAGACCTTCAGACCTCTATAGTTAAATAATGGCTAGCTCCACCCTCTGATCCTCAGGCAAGCTGTATTTGTTACAACACTAACAAAATATTACCACATTTTTGTCTAAAAAAAAAAAAGGTTATATAGCTAATATAAGAAAATCTATACAATAAGTACAACAACTATATATAAATATATACAGGCAATAAATAATCAACAATGTCTAGTCCATTAATATTTGACAAATTCAGAGAAAATACTCCATTGTCTATCCTATCTTGGTGAGTCCAAAGGGTTGTACTTAATTCACATTCTATCCTAATTTACATTACCAACCTCAAACTATCTTTTGATATCTCTCAACCCTACACACTTTACATCTCTTTAGTGAGTTTCTTTTCCTAATTTGTTAACAAGGAAATGTATAACTATCTAGTCTTCAACTCACTCAGAGAGAGACCTGAGAAGGAAATAATATTCCCTGAGTAAGAAGGAAGTACAAGAAAGCAATTTCCAAAAAATGTGAGAAATGACAGACACAGCTGGTTTCCTGGATAGTCACCCGAGATTCCTCTGCAATGTTGGGGCATCCATCTTTGGCCTACAGGCCTAGCTTATCTGACACACTTTACTGTGAAGCAGGATATTCTGAATGGCTGTCCTATCTTGTCTTGGCAAACTTCTGCAGTCTTTTCTTTTGTTTCCTGCTTGTCCAATTTGGACAGCATACTGTCAGCAGTTGAGGCAAGGGCACTTTTGCCACAATGAAAGTAAACTCCATATGGAGTTTCTTCAATGCCCATCATCTTCTCTGAAGTAGATTGGTGCTTCCAGGAGCAGACATGTCTCATTGTCATTAAAAAAAAAGCAAATGAACCTA